CCTGCCGAGATGGGGTCCTTTTTTCGGTAACCCCTGGGCTCTAGCGTTTCCAGCGCGGAGGCCGGGCGGAGTCGGCGGGGCCCACGGGCCGCCGCCGAGTGCGAGGGTGCGGTGACGCGAGGGTGGCGAGCAGAGGCCTCTCGCCTGAGGACGTCGTGGCCTTGTCCTCCCCGGACAGTTTTGGCAGAAGCGGATGCTGGGCAGCTCCGTGCGCCATGACTCCGACGTCCTGGGCCACCCGGGGCCCGAGGCGGCGGCCCAGGGGCGCTCTAGGGATAAGAGATCCTCGAGCAATGCCCGCGCTGCCCTGCCTTTTTTGCAGGGGAGACAGCCAAGCTCAGCGGCTTTTCTCATTGGAAAAACTTAGGGAAAGGGCCACCCTGGCTGAGACACCACGGCCTTGGGGAACCAGAGGCGGGGAGCCGTGGTAGGTCATGGAGGGCAGCGGAAGGGGGAGCCTTCTTGCCAAGAAAGCACCCTTGCAGCGGGACGCCCCGCGGCGATGGGGTCGCCGGCGTGTCCTGCCTGCCTCCCCATTGTCCCCTAGCTGTGCAAGTGCAAGAAGTAAACTTTTCTGGTGCGTTCGGGCCGCGCCTGAGATAGGAAGCTAGGCTACCCTGAGTCCCGCGCCTTCTCCCTTCCTCTCTCTCCCTTCTTCAGCTTCCGCCCGGGTGGAAGGAGCTGGAGGCCTAGCGTGCAGTGCTCGGGGTGGCTCCGGGTTGCTGGACGCCAGGCCTGCGCCCAGTCGTGCCTCTTGTCTTCCTGCACCCACGACAGCTCCGGAGGCCGCTTCTGCGCTGAGCTCATCTGCTTGGCGACGCGCATAGGAAGGCACCCAAAGTACGTGCCTGGCTCTCCTGGGCGACTCTGTGCCCATCATCCTTCCATGCAGCGGCCGGGGTTGGTGCACACCCAGCCACCCGCGCTGCCGCGCTGCCTCACACAGGACCCGGCAGGAGTGGCAAACTTCAAACTCCGACGCAGCACTGGCTTGGGCCCATCCTGCGTTGTAGAGTGGAGGCCGGCTCCTTAGCCTCTTCCCGGCATTCTGTGCTGCGGGTGCCTTGGGCCACCTCTTACCCGGGACACTGGCTCAGCCCCCTCCCCTTCCTCTGCCTTCGGGCTGTGCGGAGCCTGGACACCCCAGGACCCCAGCAGCATTAGGAAGACTCCCATTTGGGGGCGCAGGACCGACGAGGAGCCACTGCCTATAATTAGCAGCAATAACGCCAGTAACAGTAATTACTAATTGCCAGTCCCATAATCAGGCTTTAATTTCTCTGCTCAGAGTCACGTTTCTTCCTGTTTGTACAGTGTTCTGTCCCCCTTTCCCATCTAGGTGGCCCCAAGCCTCCAGAAACCCCTTATAACCACCAGGGCTCCTTCCCTGCCAGTACCTAGCAAGGGGCTGGAGGGGAGTAGGCCTTCAGCTTTCCTTCTCTGGGAAGTCCTGAACTGCAGCTTCTTCCCTCCACAGCCCACTGCTTCCCCTACCCCAACCCTAAGATAGATTCGGACTCCCAGGCCCCCCCCCCAACACACACACACACACACACACACACAGGCACCAACACTAAGGCCAGCAATGCAGGTGCCACCCTGTGTAAGAAAAGGCCCAGCCCCCTGCCCGCCCCCCCATGGCTGGCCGTTCAAACCCACCAGCCAATCCTCTGAAGGAGGATTGGGGGGGGGGCAATCTTAGCATAGTGCCTAAGGCACTTGACTTCTAACCAGAAGGCTGTGGGTTCAAACCTAGGAGCCACTCCTTGGAAGGAAGGGTGGGTAATCTACTTCAGTAGTGATACTGCCTCGGAAACCCAAGGGGAGGTCACTATGAGTTGAGTGGGATCTGACTCAAGGACCATGAGTTTTTGAGTTTAGTGTCCCATTACAGGG